AGTTGAACATATCTTTATTTTAACCCTCTAGTTTTCTTCATGTAGCTAAGACACTTTTTTCATTTTTAACTTCGATTTTGGCAGGAGCGCCTCCACTAATTCCGAGAAGTCAAACTCGGATTCAGGGAACATAGTTTTTCGATTTGGTACAAAAACGCCCGTAACCAATCCGAATAAGTACTAGATTGGTTCGGCGAATTAAAGAGGATCGCCTCTCTCACACAGACTCACTTTCTCGTTCGTATAATCAAGAGGTGCGAGCATATAGGATCTCACGTCAATGCAACTGTAAGCAGAAAAGTATCATTAATTCTAACTTAAAACTGCCATTAATTGTAATTACTATTAAAAGTAACTTTTTTTATGATGTAGGTTTGTCATTATTTACATCTTTACAGTAAACAAATATTTTTGGGTGATATCTATTCTTGGTGTATACTCACTTAAATCCTAGTCTCCTCTGGTGCCTCACACGACATTTGCAACCGCTAATAAGCATTACTTTATATGTAATGGTCATGGGCAATTAAAGCCATGATGCGGCTACGTTATTAGCCTCCCTGAATATCGTCTGTTATTCCTCACTCACTGTTTCGTGGTTACAGAACCTCTGTGACCATCGTTTCCCAATTAGTTTTGCTTCCTAATATTATGTTTTAATCGCATTGTAAGGTGTAATTTTAAGTCCAAGCTTCTAGTTCTTATAAAACCATTTTCTACATTGCTATAGACAGTGTGAAGGACATCGTCAGTAGTTTGCAGTTTAAACTAATCTTCTTTTTTAGCCAGCTCTCGAAATCCAGGAGTAGATATATAGTGAATAAACCTTTTGGTCCACTCTTCACAGCAGTCTCATTCTCACATTTTTCTTTCTGTAGCGACAAAGTAGTCTTTTTCTCATCTCTTGATATTCGCTCTCGGAAAAAGTCAAACAGATTCTTTCTTTCTTATGCTATACAAAAAAATATCACAATTACCAAGGATTTCTACCATTGATATTGTGCGGGATGCGGTTTCTAAATCTAACAACTTCTAACATATACTACGAGGTAAACATCTTGAGGAGCATGAATTTTCTCCAAATTTAAATTGGTCTAACATATAATTGGCCTGAATTAAATTGTCACAATCAGCATATACAATTCTCACTTGGCCTAATCTGTATTTAATCATTATATTAATATTATCATCATTTTTGCCTAAGTGGGTCTTCCAATATTTAAGAATTATTACATCCATTTGGAAAATTGAGAAACATTAATGAAAATCATAAAGTAGATCAGGTGGATGAATGTATCACGACCCAAATAAAATGCAAGTTAGCTAAAGTTGCATGGAAACAAGGAGTTGTTGGTTGCAAAATCAACCCTCCCACTACTCAAACAGAATGTGATCATTGTCACAAAATTATTGTTTGACAAGTCTCAAATAATGTTATGTTAAATTTCTTTCAAACTGTTTTTATTATAAATTTGTTAATGATGTTTAGAGGCCTTTTACAGTTAAGATGTTTATTTATTGGTTGACATAACGTTGTTACTATATGTTTCGGCTATTTAGCCCTCATCAGGTAAGTCAATGCACTTTTCAAATAAGTATAAGTATAACAAACATAAGACAAACACGTAAGTAAAACAAAATCTGTAATAAATAAAAAGATTTCGATTGTTATTTATTAAATTAGAATGTTAAATTATTAAAATTAAAAGAATGAAAGACTTACCACGTATTCGATCACATTATTTTAATCTATTAATTTGATTAATTTATTTAATTTAAAAAATTAAAAATTTGAAAAATTCAAATTTAAGAATCCATGGTAAATAATGAATGTTTCATGGTGTTCCATGGTAATATATCTTATGACCGTATATGTTATGGCAGATTTCGAAAAAGTGAAAGGAAAAATTTTAAGGTTATGATAAAAAGTTTAAAAAAATCCCTGTATTATTAATTTTATTTATTTATTATTATTAATTTAAGTTTAAAAGATTGATGATAAAATAGAGTCCTACATTAACCTAGATATGAAATTAATGTGGTAATTTAGAAGAATTCTTAAAAAAATTCTAAAAAATTATATTGGAGAATCTGTTATTATTGAAAAATATATTTTGCTTAAATTTTGTGTGTCTGTATTAAAATTTACATGGTCTTAAATAATCTTTCCCGCAAGGCAAAAGTGTCAGTTAATCAATCAATGTTTATTCCCGCAAAAAGGTGGATGATTATATATTTTTGTTCCCACTAAAAGTGATTGAGTTTGTTATTTATTCCCCGCATTCAGGGTTGATTTGATTATATCTATAAAGTTTAATTAAAATAACAGTTATTTATATATTCCAAATTTATTATCAAGAAGATTCAAGTTTGGTGAACCCAATACTCTTAATTTTATAAATAAATATTGAAATAACTGAAATAAAGAGCCATCGATGAAAAATATTGAGTATTTTATATAAAAGTAATAAAAACATAAAAGGAGTATTAAGTTACAAACACGAGTTCTAAACTTGTGGTAAGGAAAAAAAGTAATCTGATATTTTTCTAGTTTCGTTGTATTTTATATTATTTTAGTGAGTTTCTTTAATTATTATTTTTATTTTGTTGATAAAGATTCTTTTAAAATAACACATTAATATCACGCACAAATCTTACACACACTAATCAATTTCTTAATTCAATGATTTTTAAAGTTGCATTTTAAATAAAATCTTTCTTATTAATTTTCTTTGATTATAAAGTAAAGTTATTGTTTGTGAGACTTGACGTTAGTCAAGTAGATTAGTTTATCTTTGTTGTTAATTTGAAAAATAAATGTTTTGAGTATATTATTTTTGGAACAATAATTTGTATACTGAGAGGTAGAGTCCACTACTGTTTTCTAAACGTTTGTTTAGCGAAGAACAATTTACGCTTATCTATGAGCGGAATTGTTGATAGTAAATTTTAAACATATCTTTTAAATATTTCTATCTTTTTAAATTTTTTGTTAAATTAACTTTCGTCTTTAACAATAGATTTTATCCGAATTCTACGAATAAAAACTGATAATTTAACAGACTTTTTTCTTCCATTCTGAATAGTTTTTTGTATTTTTACTAATTTTATTAGTCTTCTGAATTTTATATTATGGATTTTAACAATAACAGAAATGCTTTCTGTGATCATTAATACGAAAATTAGAAGAATGATATAATGAAATATTAAGGAAATTTTAATAATTAAATAATTTAAACTGAATAATTGTATATTACCATTTTAAATTATTACCGATAGTATAGCATTATTATAACGATTGTGAACAGTTGCGTGTGGTAATGTAAATTTTTCTTCGAGGGAGAACTTTTGAAGACTATAAAATAACAAAATTACTTTCTATCCCTTGAGTTTAAATATTATTATTACAATCTAAAAAATATAAATATGATTCATATTGTATTGGATGAATGATGAAGAATATAATTGTACTATAAACTCATTTATATTGTTGAATATAAGGGAGGAAAAAAAAATTTGTCTCTTAAATTACGAAAGAGGTAATTTATTTGCCCCGGATTTAAATTAGCTGAATAAGAAAAAGTTTTTTATTGATCTGCTTTGTACACGTCACACAGTTCTTGCTGATGAAAAAGTAAAAGTCATTAAGGGAACTTTATTAGTATTCCTAAAAAGACCCAACGGTACAAATGTGCGCTGGTTGTATAGAAAAAAAAAATTCAAGCATGAAAAAGAAACATAATGAAATAAAATATGATGTTAAAAGTCATTAACAAGAAAATTAGAGCTATAAAAGTTGTTAGATTCACTTGATATCTTACGTTATATTATAATTTTACAATTTGTCATTTTATCTTTTTTTTATTATAAGGATCAAAAAGTGAAAATTATCATTATTCTTTTTTTTGTAAAGACTTCTTCTACTTAAAAGTTAGAAATTATCATTTAGATAATATCTGTCGTAATTTTCACCTTAATTTATAAAAAGAAATTATTTTCAAGAATTCTATATACATATAGCGTTAAACTCAATTACTCTTATACACGATGCGGAGTGAAGCTCACAAAGTATGCAGTATGTATGAGTGATTGAATTGAATGGCAGTTAGAAGAAATTTAATGTTCTGGAATATTACTCGTAAATTCTTGTCATACCTTGACTTCACACTTATATATATATGTCAAATCTGTATATATATATATATGTAGAAGCACTTTACTATTGAAAGATAATATAAAGTTTAATGTCATTTTATAAGTTTTCCGCAGAACATAATATAAATCATTGAAGAATCATGAGTGCTGAAATACATTTAGAAATAAACTTTTTTTCGAAATTAAAATTTTTTTAAATTATAACACATTTTAAAAGATTGCGTAAAAATTTATCAACATATAAAATTAATTATATTAAAAAGGATTATAATAATTATAAGTTTAAAAAATTAAATGACTTGACCATTTTTTTTTAATAAAATTAAACCTAATTGTAGATAACAGATTTAACAGTAAAATAAAATAACAAATTCTAAGCAGAACATAATACAATAATACTCAATTTTTAAAATATTTAAAAATAATATCAGTATTTTATCTACTGTAGAATGAAAAGTGATACCGACCAAGTAATCTGAAATTATATACCCTATGTTGGTTCGAAATCTAGAGATAACCTACCAACATTTGAAAAATGTAACAGCTATTAATATATGAATTTTTCTTTAGAAATAATATAATAATATAAAAATTTTACCTATATAACTGTATGTTAATTTTAAATTTCTAATTTATTAAAATATTAAATAATACCAACACTTGACATCACAAAAATTATTTCAATTAAAATATAAAGATATATTTAAACAACTACCTTTTTTATAAATACTATATTTTTATTATTTATAAAATTTTTAAGAATAAAATTTAATTTGTCAGGTATAAACAATTGCAAAACACTATTTAAAACTCTGAATGTATATCTGAAATTATTGGTTAAAAAAATTTTCAGTTTGACGTCAACTTTTAAAGTAAATTAATTCAAGTAACCTCAATTGTATATTGATAAATTTATTGTTATTTTACAATTATTAAAAAAATGAATTTAAATCAGATAGATATTTCGCGTGTAATAAATTCTATAAAGGGATATTTACAGACAGAATATCTTTCTGAATTTACGATAAATAGTTTCAATTATATCTCCAATCTTATGGCAATATTGATGTAATTATTTTGTTAATTTATCTTTTTTTTAGATTAACAAGTACTGATTTAATTATTATTATTACAATTTGTTTGATTTTACAGCCGATACCCTAAAGAAATTTTCATAAAACGCTTACAAAAACGAAAACGAAAACCACTACCATGTATAGGAAAACCGAGAGACTGTGGAAGCAAGTGCATTTGCAGCAAGTGCATGTGAGAAATTTAATTTAATTTTTTTTAATTTATTTAAATTAATTTCTTTATTATTTCGCCGTGAGAAATAAATTTAATCTTATATATTGTTTTTAAAGTAAAAATACAAACAAGAAACAACGTGTCATGGATTCGGATTTCTTTGCAAATATGTCTTACGAACATAGAGTGTTAAAAGTCAATGAAAAGTAAGAAAACATGAATTTTACTTCAAACAAAATTATCACAAAAAAATAGCCAAAAATATGGTGAATGATTTCTAATCACATATAATAAAAAAAAAATTTTTACCTTTTAGACCAAAAGCAAAAGACGCCAAAATTAAAAAGTGAGTTGAAAAATTGTTTCAATATTTATTCAAATTCTGACAAATTGTATTTAAAATTAAAAAATTAAAAAAATTTAATACTAAAATATTAAATTAATTTAAACAAGAATAAAATTATAAATAATAAATTTCATTTTATTTTTAAAAATAATATCTTACGAAGTTAATGAAAAAAAAAAATTGAAATATTTTCAGTCCTTGCTGTGTGAAAGAAGAGGATCGTCAATGTGTTTCCATTCATAGAGATGTGTACTTGATCATTCACTTTTTATATTTTTTCCTCGCTTGGATTTCTTTTCTTGCCTCAAAATTTTTTTTCGAAAATTTACAAAATAATTGTTACAATAACTGTTCAGTATCAAACAGTCCACTATATTATTATTTCTACTGATTTAAAAAAAAATCCGAGCGAACTGTTTTTTTCCCTTAAAAAAATTTTCACGCATTTAAATCTCAACTTCAAAAAAAAAAAAAAAAAGAAAAAAAATTGAAAATAATTATTAAATTAAAAATATGAAAAAATATTGATGAAAACATTTCAAGGCGGATCTCAAATGGATCAGGATGGACTTGGTGGAACAATATCACACGTCGACAATACATGCCACCGTTATATTCACCCTATGATATTACAACACTATCCGAGTGTTCTTCTTATAAATCGGGATTCATATCAAATACACCAGTGGCAGAATCCAAGGAATCTGTTGCAACACTCAAAAGTTCTTCGGCAACGATAAATATTTCCAATAGCAGGTTTTATGAAACTTTTTTTCAAATTTGACAAATTGAAATTTAACAGAAAAGTGGAAAGAAATTTTAGCAATTTGAAAACAAAAATTTTTTAAAGTATAAAAATATTAAAAGAGAGTTAAAAACATTTTGTTTGGCTACAAAACAGTTTTACTACTGATACTAAAGACACAAGATTTTTTTTTGTCTGACAAATATTGTGCTTTACTACTTACAATTTAAAGTACGTTAAGTCTAGCTAAAACTATCTTTTACTACTAATTTTAGAATTTCTTTAACCCTCGGAGCACACACCTCTTTTTTCGAACAAGTAGCACAGTCTGGGTCGCTGTGACCCTGTTTACTTTAAAAAACTCCCCCATTTTTGAACTATTGGACTGATCAACACAAAAAAAATATTTTTTTATTCATTGAACCTTGTAAAATAAGAATATGCAGTTGAGAAATATTATTAAATTATTTGCATATTGAAAAAAAATTCGTGAAGTTAACTAATTAAAAAGAAAAAATTGAATTTAAAAAAAAAATGTAAGTTTTGTAATTTTTAATATTTTAAGCTAAAAATTGGGATTTATATTCTCGAAGTGTGTTAGAATAAGGGAAAAAATACCACCTTATTTTATTTTTAAAAAAGGTATTTATTTTGTAGTTTAACGAAGGTAACTTTTAAGACGATAAAAATGTGATTTTCGACACAACTTTTTAAAACTATACTTTTTTAATAACATATTTACTAGTATTTTATTATTTTCTTTGGATTATCATGTTACTTATTATTCCTTATTAGTTAGTTACCACTATATGGCCTTAGGTTCGTGTTGTATTGCCGACTTTTCAAATTACACTTCATTGAAATTAATGACAGGGTTTGTGTGACCCAGTATGTGCTCCGAGGGTTAATATAATTTTCATTTAGCAGAATATTTATTTGTATATATGAATTTTCATTTGACCGAAATCGCAAATGACCGAAAAAATATATCCGACAGAAAAGTTTTGGCGGTATTTTTAAAATTAATCAATCACAATTTTCTTTCTTATTTCTAATTATTGGTTAATTTTAAAATTCGCGTTAAAACTTTTCTGTCGGATATTTATATATCGCTAGTCATAAAAATAATACTATCTCTACTTTCAAAATGTTTCCAGATCAGTTATGGAATTAACTGTTATTAGTAGAAAAACCCAAAATCGATCCAAGTCTGATCCACTGGTTGTTCTGCGTCGAAATAGAATGTAATTATTGAAATTTAGACATCATTATTTACATAACAATTTATTGTTTTATTATTTATTTTAGAATCTTGGCTTTAACTTCTATTTTTCAATAATTAATAATTATTCAATTAATCCAATTATTATTAAAAACACAGAAAATTAAAAGGCATTAAAATAAGCTGCAACGCTTATTATTTTAATACAATTTTGCTTATTTTAATTCATTTTGGTATTAAAATAAGCAAAATTTGATTGAAATAATAAGCGTTGCAGCTTATTTTAATACCTTATAATTTTCTGTGCAAATAATAATTATTAAATTATTTTAATTTATTTTTTATTAAATTAAATAAATAAATTATTAATATTAATTTAAAGAATACTAATATTGGAATGTCGATGAATTTAAATTAAATTCAATCAATTATATTTAAAAACTAACAAAAATTATTTACAGAAAAAATATGCAAAAACTAGTGAGAAGTGTGTCTACAAAAACACCGAGTTTGAAAAAGAAGAAAAGAAATAGAAGATTGTTTAATGTAAAGAGAAGACAAAATAAGTTAGGAAAAGCTCGTAAAATCCGAGCAAGTCTCAATAATCTCAGTACAATGGTTTGTTGCTCAAAAACTGGTCCACAATTAAAATAATAGTGAACACTTTATTTCATCAGCTTAACATCTGGTCAAAAAAGTTAAAATTCATTAAAATTATGTATATATGTGGACAGAAAAAGTTTGTTTTTTGTTATATAATTAAAATTTATTTTGTTAATAAATGTTTCACTTTCATTAAAATCAACTACATCATTTAAATCAACACTTCATAGGCGTTTAAAAACTTTTATTTTATTTATTATTTTGTTGATTTTTCACGTTTAATTGTATCGTTGTTATCAATATTTAAATGAAGAGAAATTTTTTACAATTAAATCAGAGAAAAAAAATCTTATCCTTAACTATAAATTCAAAAAATCACTTTAGAGTTAAAATCTAATCTTTTAACTTTTTTTAAATTTAATTTTACTATTTACCTTCTTTTACAATGTTATTTCTGTTTTTATTTCTCAAATTGGAAAAACAAAATTAATAATTATTTTAATATGCTATGAAATAATTTATTTTTCTTGATTTTTTGTTTGCGAATAATCATATCGTAAAAGACAAATATATTATTTTGTTTCGACAATAGAGGGATTCCACGTGTAAAACGAACAGTTGTCGGTGACAAGTTATCGATTTGGCTCAAAATTTTTAGGCGTATTCTACCTCTAAAAATACTCAACTAGCCAAAATTTCAAGCCCCTATCTCATAAAGAACACTCACAATCGTAAATTTCGTGAAAAGTGACATCTTTCAAAATGAAGATTGAAAAATCCATTTCTTCTCGAAAAAATGTTAATTTTGGTCAAAAAAAAAATTGGAAAGATACTTGTCGATGGGAAATTTTCCAAAGAATCCAATGCCGTTGGAATTTTTGACCTATCTCTAAACGCATGCGCAGTAGATTAAAAAAACTGATTTTTTTAAAAAAATTCATAACTCAAAATGACCTATTTCGATTTGGCTCTAATTTTCAGGAAAGACAGCTGAAAAGCTATACTTTAAAATGGTTATACCTAAAATTTGCATATTTTGAGTTTTTAACCATTTTTATGCAAAATAGTGAGCTAATTCAAATTTTTTCAAGGTTTCCTTACAGTATTTGCTTTTTGTGCGCATGCGCAGTTATATAGACAAAAACTAAGCCCAAATTCAAAATCCTCGAAAAATTTCCAATCAATTATCTATATTAACACTTCATTTTTATTTATTCTAAACAAATTTTAACAGAAAAAACAAATACAAGTTATAATTAAGAGCATTGCAAATATGAGAGTGTTTAAAAAAATTATCTTTTGCGTTTACTTCTTGAATTTGCCCTTGATTATCATTTATTTTTATTATTAATAATAAAAATATTATTATTATAACCAATTATTATTATTATATAATAATAAAAATAAATGATAATCAAGGGCAAATTCAAGAAGTAAACGCAAAAAATAATTTTTTTAAACACTCTCATATTTGCAATGCTCTTAATTATAACTTCACAGAAAATTAAAAGGCATTAAAATAAGCTGCAACGCTTCTTATTTTAATCCAATTTTGCTTATTTTAATCCATTTTGGTATTAAAATAAGCAAAATTGGATTAAAATAATAAGCGTTGCAGCTTATTTTAATGCCTTTTAATTTTCTGTGTTGTATTTGTTTTTTCTGTTAAAATTTGTTTAGAATAAATAAAAATGAAGTGTTAATATAGATAATTGATTGGAAATTTTTCGAGGATTTTGAATTTGGGCTTATTTTTTGTCTATATAACTGCGCATGCGCACAAAAAGCAAATACTGTAAGGAAACCTTGAAAAAATTTGAATTAGCTCACTATTTTGCATAAAAATGGTTAAAAACTCAAAATATGCAAATTTTAGGTATAACCATTTTAAAGTATAGCTTTTCAGCTGTCTTTCCTGAAAATTAGAGCCAAATCGAAATAGGTCATTTTGAGTTATGAATTTTTTTAAAAAAATCAGTTTTTTTAATCTACTGCGCATGCGTTTAGAGATAGGTCAAAAATTCCAACGGCATTGGATTCTTTGGAAAATTTCCCATCGACTAGTATCTTTCCAATTTTTTTTTTGACCAAAATTAACATTTTTTCGAGAAGAAATGGATTTTTCAATCTTCATTTTGAAAAATGTCACTTTTCACGAAATTTACGATTGTGAGTGTTCTTTATGAGATAGGGGCTTGAAATTTTGGCTAGTTGAGTATTTTTAGAGGTAGAATACGCCTAAAAATTTTGAGCCAAATCGATAACTTGTCACCGACAACTGTTCGTTTTACCCGTGGAATCCCTCAATACTTTTCGTACAGAAAACAATAGCAAAGGGTACTATTTCGAGTTTGCTGACACTATATATGGTCTGATAGGCGTTGACGATGTTACCGGGTAAGAGATCCCTTCTTAATTAATCAAGGAATGGAGGGGGAGACGATCAGAAGTTACTTAGAGAAGTTCAGATCAATCACATGATCAGTTGGTTCTCTGTAATCATCGTGTATCTTCTTCATCTTTTTCTTCTTTAGAAACCAACTCTACAATCATGGTAAGTAACAACGCAATAATGTAAATTTCCAAAAAAAATTTATCAGTAAAATTTGGAAAAAAAAGTGCGATTTAAAAAACAAAATTACCCTGTGATATAAACGAAGACAATATACATATATATAAAGAAATGAAGAAAAGTTTTTAATATTATAGTTTCAATTGAGAAAAGGTGTTAATTTTATCATGTATATATATATTTATAGTGCACCCATAAACTTCTAAAGGATTACGTGAGGTATACGATCTCTGGTGATTATCGTGATTTATTTTCTGGTGTTGGCAAATTAGTGTTTATTGCTTCTGGATTATTAAAACCGCAATTGTTCATTTCCTGCTTTATAGTGGACAATTCTTACATTGGATTATATATATATATATATTCATTATATGTTACAAACATTACAGTTATAAATTGCTTATTATAATTTTTTTATTATAAATCTTCTTTGGTTATAAAGTAATTTTCAAAACATTTTTTTTTTTTTGATGATCAAGAAATAAATTGAAAAAATTGTTTATTTTTTTAATTTTTTCTCTAAATAAATAAAAAACAAAAAATAGTGCATTTACTTTTTTAATTAGATAAGGAAAATGAGACGCATAAGTTTTGGCAGATCGCCTTCATTTCCATTAACAGTTGCCTATTTTTAGAAGCAATTGGAAATCTTCTTAATTTTATTAATGCTTTCAAAAAATTTTATTTTTTAACATCTCATTTCATTATACATTGTTTGAGAAAATTTAATTGAAAAAATTCAATACAGCTTCTTAATAAAAAAGCTTCATATTCAAAGCTGCATTCTAAATTATTTTTAAATTTTAATCAATGAAATTTAACTGAGCAAATAGTTGGAATTTAACAAATCTGAAGAACTAAAATCAACAGAATATAACTGAAATTTCCACTGAAATTCAGTCAAATCAATGGAACTATTACTAATTTAAGTCTTCAAATCTGTTTTACCGATAGCAGATAAAACAAAAAAAATTAATAATAATTCTACTAATTTTCAGTGAACTATATGACTAATTCTAATTATTTTAATCGATACAACTTCGCTGAATTAAATTTAGCGAAAATACACATCGAAAATCCTACTTATTCGTATTTGATTCAATATTTTATTGTATTACAAAAATTAGTGAATCAAATACGGACAAATAAATGGTTTTCTTATATATCTACTTTTTTAGTGCGTATGATATTTTAACATTTTTTTTTTACTAAAGGCGGATAAGACTAAGAAGAAGACTAAAAAGAAGGAGGATGCAAAAGCAGCTCCAGCAGCGGAAGCTGCACCAGCACCAGCACCCGAACCAGAACCAGTACCAGAAAAACCACCAACACCCGCAGAAACTCCAAAATCCTCCAGATCAAGTAGAGAAAGTCGAGGTAGCAGAAAAGTCAAACGCACTGGGTCCAGTGTGTTTTCTATGTTTACTCAAAAACAAGTCGCCGAGTTTAAAGAGGTAGAAAAAAAAACAATCATTAGTTACCCCTTCTATAAATTCAGATAACACAGTCCGACAAAATTTGGGTCTACTTCAGAACCAAGCCAAAAAGGTGTGAGTGCGCCATTAAATTGCATTTAAAAATTTTAAAAATGCATTTTAAGGGGTAACATCACCCAGAGCACGTAAAAAATGAGAGTCTATTTCAATAATTTATTTTAAGAAAATAGAACAGTAAAATGATGGGTTTTTTTTAACGTTAAACATATGTATTAAACTAAACTAAAACGAAAAAAAATTTTGTTTTCTCAAAATGGCGCGGCACTTCAACCAAAACCACGTTTTTTAAAACAGCCTCAACGGGAGGAAGGTTTTCTACTTTCTATGAGTACCTATGGACAAAAATTTCAAACGAATTATGAAAGAACGTGTTATTTGGTAGAGAACTACGTAGGATATTTAAAAAATATCGTTTTTTGACAAAATCCCAAGAAGCACGTAATATATCCTCAATATCAAGGTAATATTACACATGAGATTCGTAATATAACGCTTTAATATTACAGTAATCTTACAGTGATCTTAAAATGTCCGCCTCAAGGTAATATTACCGGGAATATTACTGTAATATTAACGGTAATATTACAGTAATATTACAGACTGATTTGAGTTATTCATAAAGCATAAAAAACGTAAATATATTATAAGTCAATTTGTCTTGTTGGTAAAACTCTGGACACGTGTGCTTTGAGTTCGGGGTTCGATTCCCTGGATGGGTAGATTTTTTTCGTAAAGAAATGTTCCCATAATATTACTGTAATATTCTCTTGTAATATTACCTTAATATTACGGTATAATATTACTGCAATATTACTGTAATATTACCTTAATATTAGCGCGTAATATTACAGTAACATTACCGGTAATATTACCTTGAGGCGGACATTTTAAGATCACTGTAAGATTACTGTAATATTACAACGTTATATTACGAATCTTACATGTAATATTACCTTGATATTGAGGTTATATTACGTGCTTCTTGGGATGGCATGTCATTTATAACAAAAATGTAAGTTTTCAAAAAAAAAATTTACTCAAAAAATAGCTGTAGAATGGAAAAGCATCAACCAATTTAACCTTCGCCGGACTGGATACTTTTTATATACACGGTTGACAAGATCCCACCCAGGGTGGGCCAAATGTTTTCTTCTTTGTATATTGCAATAAAAACTTAGAATCATTCAGTTTTTTTCCAAAATTGTTATATGTTACCAAATAATATATTTTATTAATGTTTTGTTGATTTTTTATTTGTTTAAACAATTTATTATTAATAATTTATAACTTTTTCAAATATACATACGACAGTAGAAGAATTTTATAAATTTGTTACCTTTTCTTCGTAGTTATTAATTCAAAGGTTATAAATAAAATAAAATATATAATTCAATTTGCAACAACTATTATTATAAATTGTTTAAACAAATAATTGTTGCTATTTATTAACATTCATCATAATATTCCTAGAAAATTGCAATTTTTTCTAATTTTGCAACTTAACAAGCACAACATAATAACACAAAGATTTTATATGAATTTACTATTTAACCAATTGTTTAAACAAATAATTGTTGCTATTTATTAACTTTCTTTATAATGTTCCAATAAAGTTGCAATTTTTTTCTAATTTTGCAACTTGGCAAGCTCAACATAATAAACATGAAGATTTTATATTAATTTAGTATTCAAACGATTGTTTAAACAATTTATTGTTGTTATTTATTAACTTTCTTGTAGTGTACCTAGAAAGATGCAGTTTTTTCCTAATTTTGCAATTTATCAAACCGAATATAATATAGCCAGACAGATTTGACATAAATTTACTAATTTAACAATTGTTTAAACAATTGTTGAATTTACAATTTTACATCAAATCTATCTTTTATTATATTCGGCTTGATGAGTTGCAAAATTAGAAAAAAAACTGCATCTTTCTAGGTGCAGAACAAAAAAAGTTAGTAAATAATAACAATAATTGTTTAAACAATTGTTGAATTAATAATTTTACATCAAATCTATCTTTTATTATATTCGGCTTGATAAATTGCAAAATTAGAAAAAAAACTGCATCTTTCTAGGTGCAGAACAAAAAAAGTTAGTAAATAATAACAATAATTGTTTAAACAATTATTGAATTAATAATTTTACATCAAATCTATCTTTTATTATATTTCGCTTGATAAATTGCAAAATTAGAAAAAAACTGCATCTTTGTAGGTGCAGAACAAAAAAAGTTAATAAAAAATAACAATAAATTGTTTAAACAAATGAAAAATGCGATATAATATTTTTTATATCTGTTATTTGACATCATAAAACACTCACAGTGAAAAGTCTGCATGATTTCAAGTCTTTTTGTAAAATAGAATTAAAAAAATATCTGAATCATCCCGGTTATCTCCGTACATACATTGATAAAAGTTATAAATAATCAAGAAGAAATTTTTTTTAAAAATTTGTGTTTACATTTTTTGAAAGTTCTTAAGATTTTGTTCAGTGACTTAAAATCGCGATTCAATTAAGGCAAAACTTTAGAAGATATGGCAATTTCAATTTGTCTGGCCCACCCTGGGTGGGCATCTTGTCAAGCGAAGGTTAAAAAATCCTACGTACTTCCCTAAGGAAAAGTGTCCCTAAGTCCAAATTTCAAGTAAACCCGTTAAAAACTGTGGGAGGCGCTGTTTATGATTCCGATGTCAGTTTTTAAAAATTCAAAATGGCTGATCCAATATGGCGGATGACAAAATTGAAAATTTAACGGATTTACATGAAACATATCACTGTAAAAAGAAGGTACTAAAACAGTACCGATTTTAGGTATCAAAATAGAACCAAATAACAATTTAGTACCTAAAGATGGTATTACATTAATACCTTTCGTTTTACAGTGTATTGCTAGGAATTTTTTGGGGTCACTGATTACGAATATGACGTTAGTTTTTAATTTTTTCTTTAAATTTCAAAATGTCGGATCCAATATGGCGGACATTTTTTTTTAAAATGGGCAGTTTTTGATTAAAACTTGTTACTCGGGGTCTTTTGGGTTTTCACATTATGAATATGACGTCAGATTTTCAAAATTTAAAATGACATATCCAACATGGCGGACTACAAATTTTTAAGGTAAAGCTAAGAATACCACAATAACTACCCATGGTAGTGATTTTTGAATTCATTTTTTAATCATATTAAATTTTCTTACTCTGCAATGTGTCTTTCCACCGAAAATTATTTTTTCAAAATAGTTCCATGTTTTTTTTTGGCTTAAAACTAATGGGATATTATTTATAACACCCTATAAGGGACCATTTAAGCAAAAAAAGAAAAATTCGATTTTTTGAAAGTTTTTGGTTGATGTTACCTCATAAAGGGTAAAAATATTTGTTTCGCAGATGCTGCAACAACCTTTTTAGAAAAAATTATCTGTTAATGTCCTCAAATATGATTTTAAAAAAACGTCTTTTTTTGCACATTTAGATTAGAATATCTCAAAAACTTGACGTGCTTTGTCAATTATAAGGTCAGATTCGGATTCAGTACGTCAAAATGCTTCGGAAAAGCATAAAGTTTGGTTCTTGATTCTTAAGTAGGACAAAATTTTGTCAGCCTGTGTACACAAAAAATTAAAAGGCATTAAAATAAGCTGCAACGCTTATTATTTTAATGCCTTTTAATTTTCTGTGTAATTACTAAATTGCAATTTAAAAATCTGTAAAAATACTGAATTTTACATTTTAAAAAATGTTAAATCTTTGTATATAATAAAAATTATTTAATTGTTGTCAATACACCAAAAAAAAATAAAAGAAAAACCTATAAATATTTTTTAGGGATTTGCACTAATTGATCATGACAAAGATGGTGTTATTGGTAAAGAAGATTTAACATGGATCTTCGATCAAGTGGGAAAAATGGTTGAGGAGAAAGATGTTGAAGCAATGCTTGAGGAAGTACCTGTTCCCATTAATTTCACGCAATTTCTTCATCTATTTGCAGGACGCTTATCGCAAGGTATATTAATTTATTAAATTTATTTTTCCAATAATTATTTGAAAATATGAGAAAAATTAATCAATTTTTCAGTTTAAACATTGCATTACTTTAATTTTTATATATTTACAGTAATAATAATAATAAAACTGTTTTTATACTTTTTCATGAACTCTGGGATTGTAAAATCTAATGATGATTCCATTTTAAAGGAGGTAAGTGTACAAAATACAAATAAAATTCATTTCCAATGAAATTAGCATTGTTGATATTAAACATTAAAATATTTTTTGTCATTAGGTACCGATGATGATGATGTTATAATTAAATGTGTTAACACATTCGACAATGGTCAAGGAAAAATTGACGGCGAAAGGTATTCAATTTTTGTAATTTATTAAAATAATATTTAATCACTTCCTTTAGATCCTTCAAAATTTAATTCTAAATCAATAAATAGAAAAAAAAATCCCTGTCAAAGAGAAAGGGGAAAGATTTTTATTCCCCTGCCTTCCAAAAAAAATTTAATTTCTATATTTTATCTGAACAATAAATATAAATTAGATTATATTTTAAACATTTTTTTTTTTAGATTTAGGCACGCCTTGACGGTTTTCTGTGACAGATTCACAAACAAGGAAGTCAATGAAGCGTTCGATCATTGTTTCATTGATGATAAGGGTAGAATTGATATTGAGAGTCTTATCAATATGTTGATTGGTAAAGAAGACGAAGATGATTAAAGGTGAAAAAAAACTATCGCTTTCTTGTAACATAAAATCATATTATCTTTATAAAATAATAATGATGGTTGATACACAGACACACACACAAACAAACAAACAAATAATGTATTTAAAAACATCATACCGACGGCTGTGATTTTCACTCAAACAACAATACGACAAAAATATTTATGTAATTTTTTTTTTCTTGATATCGAAAATTTATTCTCTGAACACTGTGCTGTCGAAGAAAAACTCATTTCCAATGTGACATTTTTCCCGCAAGCGGATATTGTCATTTTATTTGTATAGATATATAGGTGCTCACATATATAATTTATAATAATGTATCTGTCATAAAATAAATTAATCATAAAGATATCGTAAGACCAATAATTTTACATATTTTTTTTTTTCACTATTAATTTTATTTATACCTTTTTTTGGCGACAATACAATAATTTTCTCCTTGCACCCAGAAAAATGGGTATACATAAATTATTATTTTTCAACTATGTAATTTATTTACAGATTCTATTAAAATAGATATACAACTTCCTGAGAGTGTTTAAAAATAGATTATTTAAAATAATAATTTCTATTTAAACTATTTGATTATTAATTCTTTGATCAAAAAGGAACAAAAAATTATTTTAAAAAAAGGGAAAAATTAGAAAAATTAATTCTCACAAATTTAAGTACTTGAATATTGTTTTTAAGTTTTTAGACTCCTTTATATAAACTTAATAAAAATTATGAAAAAAAAGATAACACGCATTATAGTTAAGTTTTCTTTGGCCTTTCACCAAATATTGAGGTTCCAACTCTTACACTTGTACTGCCAAGTTCAATCTAAAAAAAAATCAAATAAAATTAATGTTATAAATAAATAATTAAAAAAATTAATATATATTCTTAATAATATAAGAATAATATATAAATATTATAAGTATTAATAAATAAAAATAACAAAAAAAATATTTATGAACATATAATAAATATATTAAATATTTAGAAAAAAAAATTAATAAAATAAATTTTACGTACCGCGTGTTCATAATCAGAAGACATTCCCATGGAAAGTTGAACATTTTTCTGATCAAGTCCCAGTTCTTGACAAACATTTTTGCGACATTCTACTAATGACAAAAAATCTGGATTTTGACCTTTAGATAAATCATATCCATATTGTCCAATAGTCATTAATCCAACAAATTCCAAATATTTACAATTTTCTAAAACATATTTTACCAACGATGGTGCCTCTTCTATTTTGCAACCATTTTTTTCTAAAAGAAAAATCTATTTTTTTAAAAACTAAAAATATATTATTTTTTTTGCAAATAAATAATTATAGGTAAATAATTTGCAAAAGATAAAATTTCCCAAGAAGCACGTAATATATCCTCAATATCAAGGTAATATTACACGTGAGATTCGTAATATAACACCTGTAATATTACAGTAATCTTACAGTAATCTTAAAATGTCCGCCTCAAGGTAATATTACCGGGAATATTACTGTAATATTACCGGGAATATTACTGTAATATTAACGGTAATATTACAGACTGATTTGAGTTATTCAAAGAGCATAAAAAACGTTAATATATTATAAGTCAATTTGGCTTGTTGGTAAAACTCTGGACTCGTGTGCTTTGAGTTCGGGGTTCGATTCCCTGGATGGGTAGATTTTTTTCGTAAAGAAATGTTCCCATAATATTACTGTAATATTCTCTTGTAATATTACACGGAGAGAAATAGATGGTACGGGGTACTATCTAGATAATACCAGGTACCATATTTGATCTTACATATACGGACAGTAATCTAGATTATATCAGTTACTATCCAGATTGTACGGAGTAACATCTTGATTGTGCTGGGTAACATAACCATACTTTTTCTAACATCTTTGATAGTACCGAGTAGCATAATGATGGTACCGGATAACATCTACTTTTTACCATCTTAAGATCGTAAATTCTTACCATCTATTTCTCTCCGTGTACCTTAATATTACGGTAATATTACTGTAATATTACCTTAATATTAGCGCGTAATATTACAGTAACATTACCGGTAATATTACCTTGAGGCGGACATTTTAAGATCACTGTAAGATTACTGTAATATTACAACGTTATATTACGAATCTTACATGTAATATTACCAATATTATGATATTGAGGTTATATTACGTTCTTCTAGGGTTATTACTAATTTTTATTGATTATACCTGCTTCATTACTTGTATTAATTTGTACCATAATTTTCAATTTGGAATCATCGTTTTTAGAAAATTTCATCCATCCAACATCAAGAGCTGACGCAAGTTTTTCACTATCGACAGTTTCAATAATAAATAGATTTTTAATACCTAAAATTTTGTTAATTTTATTTCTTTGCAAATGACCAATATAATGCCAACGTATTTCTTTACATTGTTCCAATATTTTTTGATCATTTGCTTTTTCAACTAATTCATTGACATAATTTTCACCAAAATGCTTTTGGCCAGCGTTATATGCCTCAATTATATCGTCTGGTGGTTTTAGTTTACTTGCAGCAACTAATATTGGTTCACCAAAATTCAATTCCTACAATATTAATATTCGAAATTATTTTTAATAATTAAATTAAATTTATACTTATATATTTATTAAATTCTATTTGTTAAATAAATAACAAATTAATACATTATTATTATTATAATTAATAGCGATTGTTAATTATTATTATTATTATTATTATTATATTATTCTTTGTTATTTTAATATTATTTTAATATTAATTATATTGTTGATAAATGACGATACAAAAATAGAAGAAAATGAATAAAAAAATATTGATTAAAACATTTTGTTAATGATGAACTATAAATATTTTTTTCCGAAACTCCTAAAAATCTTGTATAAAGAAGAACAAATAATAAATAGTTTAAAAATAATGTGTGAGTTAATGTTAAAAATTGGAATATTATTTTACTTACAGGCAATCTTTTAGCGGCAGCTTGAATGATTTTTTCGCGAACAATTTTTAAATTTGTTGCTATTTCAACCATTTTTAACATTTGAATTATATAAATGCGCTAAACAATAATATCACATGATAAATTCACAACTATTTTTTCTTACAAACTATAAAATGTTTTGCTTATCAACCATTTTTGTTTTTTTATATATATAACTCTGGTGAAATTCTTCTTTAACTAAGTAATTAATTTTTAATTAACATCCACTGTTCATAAAGAATTTGTTCAGAAAAACCTAAATATGAAAAAGAAGAAAATTTTTGAATTTCAAAAGTAGTCGGTAATATAGAAAAATTGATAAAATTGTTTGCCTATTGTTGATGGGAACACTGATAAGGTAAGTGAAATTCCTTCCTTACCGCTGGGTGTTTGTTTCTTTAATTCTCAATATTTCCAACATGTGGCGCTACATGTCACTTTCAAATGAATATTTAAAATTTTTTTTTTTTTGATTTTCTAATTTTCTTTTTATTTCTACTTACTGGACACTCATTTACTGTACACACTTTACGTAAATATTTTTTAAATTTTTTACCCTTATTTTATACAACATGAAAACAGAGACTTAATCAAAATTATTTAACTCATAATAATATATATGCTAATACATTTTAAATAAAAAATAATATTCAAAATGCATCTGAAAATTAATTATCGAGAATTTAAAAAAAAAATTCACCTATGACGAATCCAATTAGAAAAGATGATTGTAAATTATATTTGAACAAGAAAGTATCGTTTTACATACATTAAAAAAAAAAAAAAAATTAACTTTTTTTCGTAGAAGTCTCAAATTTAAAGATTATTGAGGATAACAAGGAGATTAAAGATATATCAGGTCGTTAAGTCTCTTCGATTCATCCATGCAAGATTTGGGCGTCGCAATCGCAGCCTGTATCAAAAAAACCAGTAATTTATATGACGCGTTAATCCCGTTTTATTACTCTCAAAGATCGTTCTTATCATCTTTACGCATGCTTTACATTTTATGCGCTCCTGCGAAAAATTTTATTTAATTTATCACTACATTGCAAATTAATTGTGTCTATGTGTGAACTTTAAAAATATACAATATTAAAAAAAAGAAGTTAAAAAATAAATTAAATAAAAATTATTAAATAAATATTGTTAATTAATTAATAATAATAATTAATAATTAATTTATTATTAATTATTATTTAATATTGTTAAATAAATTAAAAATTAAATTTTTTATCGAATAAAATAATGTCCTCTAATTTTATTTTATGCAGTTTTTATATTTTTGGGAACTGAAATTTATTTATTTTATATAATTTTTAATTTATTGTATAGATGTAATAATTAATATTATTAATAATAATAATAATAATAATAATAATAATAATAATAATAATAATAATAATAATAATAATAATAATAATAATAATAATAATAATAATAATAATAATTAATGATACTTTTAAAAGTGTATATATAATTTACCAAACCAATTCAAAAATGATTAATTATTAAAAAGATGAACCTGATTATAATATCTCAGAGTGAAAGTATTTTGTAATTAACTGAATATAATTAATCTCAGCCAGTTAACGTGAGGAATTGAAAATTTGATAAATGGTTTATTCGAATTCCAAAAATTTGGATGTATATGCAAGATGAAAAAATTAATAACCAATCATTTTATAAAATGAGAGAAACCAGTTTATATATATAATACAATAGACTCTCATTAATATACATATATATATATTGTTAAATCAATTTTCGAATTTTTAAGCCAATAAATTTTCCCAATATATTTTTGTAGGCAACATTTTTTTTTTTTTTTTTGAAGACATATAGATATAAATATACAATATATATTACAATAATTCTGATTTGCATTTATTCTCTTGTAGAATATTGAACCCAGACACGTGAATAATGCATATTTCAAAAGGAGCTAAAATTTGAATAACGAAAGAAAAAGTATTTTTTAATTTCAGTCATAAAGGTCTATTTGAAAAGTATCAAGTTGCATTTTAAGAATACCTTTAAATTGAAAGAATTTCAAAAGTCATGAGAGATTTGAATTTGAATGGTTTTATTTTCAATTTGAAAGGTGATTATATATATATGGTCATGTATAGCAAATTTTGTTTTAAGGGGTGATAGTTAAATATATATATATATATATATATATTTAAATTATTATTATTTGTGTTATTACAATATACAAATTTCATAATTGTATTAAAAAATATATTTATATATATATATATTTATATATATATATTTATTTAAAAGTTACCGTAAAGATAAAAAATTTCTAAGAGCCTGGCTACACCGAGAGCCAACCAGGAGCATAATTAAATTTGATGCTCAGGCGTATAGATTATATTCGCGTCTGCGCTGAATGTTTTTGTACATCTGCGACCATGGTTGCGATAGTGACAGGTTAGAAAAGTTCGCTGTCTTTGGCGAACCACGTGGTCGCCTTTTCTAACCTTTCCCTATCGCAACCATGGTCGCAAATGTACACAAACATTCTGCGCAGACGCGAATATAATATCTACTCGTTTAATACGCCTGAGCATCAAATTTAATGCTCCTGGTTGGCTCTCGGTGTAGCCAGGCTCTATGTTTATAAATTTTAGGTTATGTTATTGGAATCGTTTTTTAATCTTAGAAATTTTTTAAATCTTTATCCAATGGTAATTTTTAATGGTTCAAAGTGGGAAAAATAATATTTTCCACACTTTTTATTCAAAGATTGTATTTTATTTAAAAATATCACATTATATATTTACATATATATAATTACTTTGGTTTTAAAATTAAATATAAATTTTAATATTAAAAAAAAAATTTTTTTTAAATCTGATCGCTATTTACATATAATGAGTGATAAAATATTAGTTAATAGGCGGACAAATATCTATATGATATAGTATAGTTTCGGGTATACGATGAGTTTTTTTTTCTCTGTAACGTATGAGGGCTTTTAACAAAGGGTGGATCTCACATATAAGGGAGTGAAGGGAAGTAATGGATCGCCCATTCGAAAAGTTCATTAAAATCTGGTTGGTATTACAGACTCAAAATCTCCCCTACTTCTCCAACAAGCGTGTAAACCCCCCGGAGGCCTTGACAATAGACCGCTCAATAGTACCTAATTCGCAACAATGGCTCCTTCAGCCATATATTAATGGTTAGAAACGTATATTCACTGTCTGCCATTGTAGATACGACTGATCGTATATACTATCTGCTACCATTACAAGTAATACATTATGTTATATGCATTATTCACATCAATATGTCCAAAAAGTTTTAGGGAAATAAAATTTTTCAATTTTTATTGCTGTAATAAAAAAAAAAAGATTATTTTTATGTATTTAAATTAAAATTTGTTTTTGTCGGAAATTTTACTCTTAAAATATTGAATCGATTGATCTGAGATTTTGTGAAAAAAAAATGTAGACGTTTTCTAAAAATTTCCTAAACATTATTATTAGGGGCGGTCAAACGGCCGGGCAACCCGGGCTACATATAATTCTCGTCAACTACCGCACCCTGCTCTAGTGAAAATTTAGTAACTTTATAGTACCTTTTAATTTTAACAATAAAGTCACTAAATTTTCACTAGAGCAGGGTGCGGCGGTAGTTGACGAGAAAATGATGATAAATGGCGAGTGGAGAGAATGGAAACCAACCCATGCAAATTGTGTCCGTACCCTGACTTTAACTTCTGAATTTATTAATTCATTTATTAACCCTGAAATACATTGGATTCCAACCAAACATGACTGTTGACAATTAATAGAATTCGAATTGTTTCAAGTATTGATTTTGTTTATTGATATTTTTAAAAGAACTGTTTCGTAATAAGATGTCAGAAAATAAAAAGCATTCTGGGGGTCCTACTACAGAAAAATAAAATTGCAAGAAAATGCAGATTTTCAAAAGCAAGATTCTGCTGCTTTCAAACGTTTTGTTTTAGCCAGAGTTTCAGGGTCATAGATCGAACATAACTTCAAAATTCTAGGGCATAGGTTTCCAGGATTTAAGACCTTAGTTTAAACATAACCTCAAAATTTAAGGTCATAGGTTAAACATAACCGCAAAATTCAAGAACATAGATCAAGGGACTGATGGGTTTGAGGCTATATATGTCCGACAAATATTACTATTCAAATTCCCCTAACCAGGAAACGAACATAACCTCAAAATTTAAATAAAATTTCTATAATTTTAATACTTGCAAGCCTTTAAAAAAGTTAATCATTGAAGTGAAAAATAATGGATGGCGCGCGAAGGGGAGAGCGTTATAATAATTATTATTCTATATGTTTTGTTTTTATAAATATTTTTTCGACACATTTTTTTTTATATTTAAATATATTAAATACACTAAATTAGCTATATGGAAAATAAAAATAAAAACAGTTCAAACAAGTAGGAAATTTGACTCTAAGAATTTTGATAATACAATTGATTTGTTATCGACAAATTTATGGTGAAATAGAAAGGATAAAATATATAATAATAAAATATTCCCTTTGTCACGCATATGAATTTAGCTATATATATGGTTAAATATATAGGGGGCGATGATTTTATCAGTTAGCCCATTAAGAAACATTGCAATGCTATAATCCCCTCGTTAGATTCTACTTTCTGACAAATGATGATTTATATTAATTTAGATAACACGTTGAACGCTATACAATTAAAAGAGTGAATTTTCTATTTCGCGATGCATATATACATATAGTACTGAAAATTGATAATGTTTTCTCACTGGAAGCACGATCACGCGTGTTTGACAACCATTTCATATATATTCTAAGGGAATAATATTTCATTTTATATTATACAAAAATGACTAATAAGTGATTTTAATATAAACAGGGGGTGATACAAAAAAAATTTCGAAAGTGTTCAAAAATTATCATAAAATATCTTATTAGGCGCTTTATTTTCAATTTTGAAACATTTATGATATAATTATTATTTGAGTAAAAACATGTATTTACTTTTAATTTATTAATAATTGAATAAAGAACTACTATGAAAAAATAAAAATTTTAAATTAACATAATTTTTGTATGGAAATTTTGTTTCGGATGTTAATTTGTAAACAATAAAATTTTGATTTGAAATTAATAATTGAGGAACAATTAATTTGGCTG